TGGTCATATATCTCAGAAGATTAAACAAAACCTTGTCATGAAAATCTTTCAAATTCGAAGGTTTAGGTTCCTTGTTAAGAACAGTAGGCAGAAATTAGTAGGTCTTAACCTTCAACTTGAAAGAGAGTTATCACTACATCTTAATAGATGATTTAACTTAATGTTTCCTGAGTTTCTATTTCAGAGAAAAGTAGTATCATTACAAAGTACTGCTATTTGGTCTAAGCCAGTCACCTTAGATTTTTGCTAAGATAATAAAAGCAATGGTTAGAAGCTGGAAGTCAAGAAGAATCTTTTGTAGAAACTATCGAGACGATATCTGAATAGCACATCTATCAAAGGATATTCTATTAGAGTAGCAGGAGTTGGTTATAAAAAAAGACTTAGAGAGTTGTAGATAGATTTGAGTAGAAGAGAAAGGCAGTTAGGATCTAGTACAAAATCCAAAATTTTGCAGTCTTATTATAGATACAGCAGAGGGTTTAGTACTTGCTTTAGAGGAAAAAATTGTAGCTACTATTCTTCAACTAGAAGTGTTGCTAGAAGTACTAAGAGTTTTAGCACAGATATTAGCCTCTAGCTCAAGTGAAAAGTTTTGAGTTTTACAGGTTGATAGATGCAAGAAATCACTATTAGAACAATTAGGATACAAATATCATTTTGTTATTACAAGTAGTGAAGGATGTTCAGTGGCTAGTAAGGAATATAAGAAGTTGGAATGAGTATCTAGTATAGAAACTCCCCAAAATAAAAGTAGTTTTTGTAGATGCCTCAGTAGTTGGTTAATGTGGAGTTTACTAAAGGCTAGTAACTGCAGAAAATTAGACATGCAGGTTAACAGCAAATATTATAGCTCAACTTGAAGCTATTACAGTGCTTCAAGTCCTGTAGTCTTTTGGAGAACATTTAAAGGGTTCATAGGTGACACTAGTAATAGACAATAAGATGGCTCTGAAGTCAGTAGTAGATGAGGGACCAATACAATAGCAGAAAGATATTGCCAGAGAAATCTGGAAAGTTTGTTTGGAGAAGGATTTAGAAATCTACTGTACAAGATGGGTTCTGAGTACATTGAATTAAGCAAATGAGTATACAAGAGTTTTGGATTTCGAGAATTGGGAGTTAAATTCAAGTATAATAGATTACTTGTAAAGGCGTTGGGAGAGTTTGATATTGACAAATTTGCAAGTCATATAAATGTAATGTTAAGAAGATTCAACAGTTTGCATTTTTGCTCTGGTACAGAAGCAGTAGACTGCTTCATGCAAAACTGGTATGGTTGTATAAATTACCTGTGTCTACCTTTTGGCCAAATTCATCGAGTACTAGCATATGCAAAGAAATATAGGCAATAATAGTAATTATTGTACTAGTTTAAGTAGTAGCCATTTGGTGGCTGATAGTTTTAAGTGTAAAGAGAGAGGAAGTAGATTTGCTGTCCTATTAGAAATAATTCAACCAAGCCTGTCAGGCTTTTTGGAGCTATGCAACAATAGTCACTAGAAGCTAAAAGTGATCCAAATAGATTGGTCAAAAAGCTTTTAAAACATGCAGATTTCTTAGTTGAGAATGCTATTAGTGATGTATATAGAAAAAGGTTGGTTAAAGCATGGAGTATGTTTGTGAAATTCACTAAAAGAATTGGATGTGAATCTTGCTCGACTTCAGTTACTATGATTGCAGTATATTTGGCCTGGTTGGAAATCTCTAGACAGAGTTCAGAATTGGTAAGTTGCTTGGCAGCTATTTTAAAGGTGCATAAATTGAGAGGTCTATATTACCCAACTAAAAGTAGTGTAGCATAGGCAGTGGTCATTGGAATTAAAAAAGCTGTTTCTAGAGATGCAGAGGTGAAGTGGCTAAGAGACCCTTTGCTAGTGAATGCTGTGAAATAGTATTTAGATCCCCCTCTCAAGGTACTAGTTTTAAATATGGATCTATGATTTGGCACTAGTTATTCTGAGTTTGAGAACAATGAGACACCTGGAAGAACTTTGTGAGTTAAAAGTGAAGGATTTAAGTTTAAGAGATAGGCTGCTTTGAATTAGAATAAATAAGTCCTAGACAGACCAATTAGCTAAAAGAAAGTTTGTGCCTATTGAGCAAACAAATAGCAGATATTGTCTAGTTAGGAGGGTAGTAGAATATTTTAAAATCAGGCCAAAAACAGAGGATAATGCACCTTTTTTCTTGTCTAAAATAGGAAAAAAGATGATGGTCTCATCAGTCTCAGCAGTGGTAAAAAGGTTTGCTGACTATGCTAATTTGCAAGGTAAATTTACAGCTCATAGCTTAAGGATTGAAAAGGCCACTGCAGCTATGAGAGATAGATTGACGATAGAGCAAATTCAAATAATTGGTGGCTAGGTTTCAGAAGTCCCTCAGCTTTATATGAGATCAGTAGATATAGCAGAGTTAGGAGCATCAACATTGATGGAGTTTGGTATATCAGGTTATAGTTCGCTTTAAGTATTGTGATTTGTGATTGATTTGAGTTGTAGCATTTAATTGCAAATTGAATTTCTTTTGACAATACTCTAAAAAACCTATTTATGTTCTTCATGATAAATGTACTCGTAAATGAGAGACAAAACAAAATAGCTACTTGATACATAAGTATCAAGGCAGCTTTTGTCTCGAATCTACTCACCTGATCAAACATGTGACAAGCCTGTTTACGGTCACATGTTCGATCATTTGATCGATCCTAAGCATGTAATACTTATGTGTTCAGTGATATCAGTATGTTGCAATTAGTTTTGCAATCAGTAATATGAACATAGTTAAGGTAATTTAGTATCTTCAGCATGTATGTAATAATTGGGTAAGTATGAGATAATTGAGTAAGTATGTGTGAGAAAGTATGAGGTAATGGGATCGTAGTATTTTAATAAGTGTGAGAAATTGATGTAAGTTAATTTTGTCTTTTCTGCAAACCTGACTTTCATTCTGGTTATATCGATCCCGCCCTCCCATCCCCATAATAATGTAATGTTGTTTTGATTGGCCTGCTAAGACAGCAGCCAAAAATTGTGGCCTGTCAGGATGACAGTCACATACACAGAATTAGTTGGCCTACTGAAACATGTGGCCTGTTGGGACGACAGTCACATGTGTAGATGTAGCTTGTCGTCATGACAACATGATTTTGGTTGAGTTAAAAAAAAAAAAAAGAAAGAAAGAAAGAAAGAAAGAGTCGATGCTCAGAGAAACTGCATAGGTTGCTCAATAGCAGAAGGGCTATACCCATTTATGTTCTTCATGATAAATGTACTCGTAAATGAGAGACAAAACAAAACAGAAGAACAACGCTTTTAACTTACTCTGGACCTATAATTAAATATATAAACAGTGATGTTATCTACTTATATACTTATTGGCAAAATTCCGAATTACTATAAAATTTGTTTGTCCGTGCCCAAATCCCAAACTCTGACAAATTTCATATCTTTGTTCAAACTTATATAGAATATATTACAGAAATTTCAAAATATTTTTTTCATCCAATTTTCTATAAATAGAAATTGTTTTTTTTTTTTTTGAATTTGTCCGGGTTTTGCCATTTTGTCAACATGTATATCTACGTATTTCATTATAGGTTAAAAGTAAGTTTAAACGGACGTTTTCTTAAAAATTTGCTTCCGAATCCACCCTTGCACATACTAAACCATGACTTAATGACAAACCAAATCCATAAATACCTGAACGTCCCAACAACTAGTGATAGCGCTTCTTTAAACAGCTTAGCACTGCTGTTTTATTATTTTTATTTGCTTTTTATCTCGTATATGTACTAGAAAATCTCTTTTATTGATTGTGACGTGTTTCATTTGTTGACTTTTCAACATTAATTAGGTCCCAAAAACTGGTTAATTTCTTTCATTGGAATTGTCAAGACATGATTTCTTTCATTGGAATCGACAAGAAATGCGTTGTTTTCATTATTGTTACTACTATTACTAATCTGAGGTTTTGATGGGAAATAATGTCTATATGCTTCTAAAAATAATTGATCCACTCCTGAATTGGGCATTCGATACGCGTTAGGATTGACAACAACTGTTTGTGGTCTGACCCAAGCTCGGGTCAGACTTATAGGGGCGAAACTCAGTAGTTCACCCGAAACATTGTTAAAAGGATTTAACTTGACTGTACAATCGAACATATTCTGATCTGGCTTTTCCGTCGGATTTTTTTTCCTTTTCGATCGGCCCGCGTCCATAGATTTAATCTTTAGAATCGGGTTATACCGAAGATAATGAAATTCATAATTAGGAAGTTTTTTTTTATAAAATTTCAAAGCTTTTTCGTAAAGTTTTTTGAAAATTTCCTTTCGTTCTTCGGATAGCATTATCCAAAGTTTAGATTGAGCTTTGGAGAGAATAGTTCGATCATTGAAACCCGATATTTTATGTTTTGATGCATATTTGAAGACCGCGGATTTGAATTGAAAATATTTGCTAATTGGATTCTTTATTCTAGAACCCTTAACATATACAGACATATAACCATTATCTGATGAACATAAAACAGCTAAATCGATTTTGCTGACGAATTCATCAACTTTTTGATCAATATCGGAAGAAACCGAATATTCAGATAATTGCTTATACTGTTGATCATCCACACCAATGCTATTGGTAATGAACTCGACAGATGGTGAATTTAATTGTAAATCTTTTTGACTATCTTGACTTGGAGATAATCTTTCATTATCAGTTTCCATAGTAGTGTTAATTTTTCCTTGATCATCTACGTATAAGAAGTTATGACTTAGTATTAGTAAAAACTTAATATAAACTTAATCTAAACTTAATCTCATATGTACTATCATAAATTCCCACTTTTTAAAAATTGTGACGATCAGATCTTGTTTAATCTCACAGGATCCTTACGTTGCTTATAAACTTTTTTAGATGACTACTTACCTTTAAGATAATTATTCAATTTTAGGCTTTCGTTTGTATCATCGTAAGAAGCATAATCTTCAGAGAAATGCTTGAGTTGTTGATCATCCACATCAATATTATTTATAATGAATTTATCAGGTAAATTTGATAGTCTACCAAGTGTAGTTAATATTTCATTCAATACTGGGCGCTTGTCTGTATCAGATGACCAGCATTTCTCATAAAGACTGGCATAATCTGAAGGTGTACCAAAAATAATTTTCTCTCTTTCGTTTCTTAAAATTGCCAGGCTTAAGAGCGCGACATTATAATTTTTAAATGGAGGAATTCCACTTGTAAGTTCCCAAAGTAATACTCCCAGACTATAAATGTCAGATTTTTCATTACGTTTGAAGTTTCCTCCATTTTGAATAAAGCATTGCGGTTCAACATATGCCATTATGCCAGCCGTATTGTTACTCGAATCCGAAGCAGTGTTATCATTCCATCTCTTTGATAACCCGAAGTCAGTGATTAATGCTTTTCCGCCATCAATTAATATATTCTTAGAATGCTAATGTTATTTTGTAATTAGTAAGTAAAATATTATTCAAAATTTTGTACAGAAATCGAAAGTAAAGCTTACTAGATCCCGATGAATGATGTCATTGGCGTGTAAATGTGCCAATCCCGATGTAATTTCTTTAGCAATTTTAATGATCTCAGTCCATGAAATTTTATATATACCCTCTTTTTGTTTTCCTCGTAAATACTCTCGTAGATTACCACTATTAGCATACTGCAACACTAACATGAAGTTATCTGTTGATGGATCTAAAAAAAATACATTAAATCATTGATAGGCAATATGATTAAAATCCTAAATTTCAAATTTAAATATTTGTTATTACCTCTAGTGAACCCATATAATTTTATTATGTTAGAATGAACAACATTACAGTTATAAAGGCTTTTAATCTATATGAATGTGGATTTATTATATCGTAAATATCTTCAAATTAAGTATTCAAAATATTGAATAACAAATAATGCTTTACCTCATTTCTAATTTGTTTGAACGCTTTATTATCCAGAGTTATATTGTTATTTAGACTTTTTAATGCATATTCTTTTCCTTGGAAAATGGCTGAGTATACAACCGCAAATCCTCCTTGCCCAATTATTTTTATAATTACTAAATTCCGAGTGGCAAAAGGTTTTTATATTGAATTTTTCCAAATACTCTTCTAACCGTTTTGAATATGCAACAACTATGCAAATTATTATATAAAGATTGATGTTATCAGTATATATACATTAAATATTATCTAGTAGTCCATCATCGTAAGCAGCATGCCAACATTTGTTTATCTAACATTATTCCATTTCTGAGCCCTTCATGACTCAGAAGCTGACATATTAAATTACAACAGGGTAACAAATTATTTTTCCAGAAAACGATTACTCCGTGATCTTACGGATCATATGATAATCATTTTCTGAAAACATAATTCACGTTTCGCATTTAATAATTAGCTAGACCAATTTTATTCTTTGTATATCTATGTTTAATGTTGCGGGATAAATTACTTTCCAAGATAGATACATTTTGTCAAGAGGAAAATAATTTCGTCAAGGTGAAATATTTCGGTTTAGCCCGCAACATTAATCTATATATATATTATTTTACTTAAAAGAGTGATGTAACAGAGAAAATGTAAAATAATGAACTAAATTGACCCAGCCTCATTCTATGCAACAGCTTACATGGTAATCCTGACATGCTTCAAGACTGATGCTTTTATATTATATGCAGGGTTTTTCGTTAATTTTATTTATTAAAATATAATTAACTCTATATAACGAACGTGAGGTTCTTGAAGTAAAAAATAAAAGTTCCTTAGAAATTAATTTATTTTCTATACTAAATTCTATAATTTTTTTTTTAAAAAAGGGTATTATAGTGGGTTTCACCATAGAAAGGTCGTTATAAAGTTGACTGCTGTGTAATTGTAGATCATTTTCTGAAATTGTCAAAAATTGTATCAACATGAGGATTCGTACTGCAGTTAGGGTTGTTAATGGAGTAGCATACTCCGGAGTGAACCCAACCCAAGTTGGAGTGAGTTAAAGTTATGACTAAAAATCTGGAGTGAACCTGGAGTGAACCAGAGCAACTACTAAGCAAGTCTGGAGTGGCTCCGGAGTGAACCCAACCCAAGTTGGAGTGTGTTGAGGATTAGTTCAACCCCTAATTGCAGTGCTACACCGGCCAATCAGAAGTTGGATACTCCAAAAGTTTATCCCCATTATTACATAACTGATAAATTTCTCAAGCAGTTTACTCGCCGTTATTATTAGATCTTTGTTTATTAATGATAAAAACTTTAGATCAGCTAAACGATCTTCCATTAATTAAAATTTTCTCTATGATTGTAATAATTGGAATAGTAAATAAACTTGTTTCGCCAAATTTGCTTCCCGACTAATTGACTAAGGACATTCTCAAGCATCAACCTGTTGTGATTCCCAAGTGATCGTAATAGCACATAACCATAATTATATTTACATAAAGTTTTAGATAAAATTTGATTATGCAAATGAAGTTTTTTCAAGCTTCATCCTCGATGCTATTTGCTAGTGATTGTAATAATGCTTATTTATAACTAATTAAATAGAAATTGCAGTCGATACTTGAGCGATTCTATGTTATCGTAAGAAAAAAAATATATATATATATATCTATCTATCCAATAAGAAATAACAGATGCTACCGGCTTTAGAAAATAACCTTAACTTCAAATGTCTTTATTGCTCCAAAGAGCAATACAAAATTTCATCAAAAAGATCATAACCTCATCATCAGTTAAATAGGAAAACATTAACCTCTAATCCAATAGTTTTAGGTCTTCGTGGATATTGGATTATTGAGCCAAACGAAGAAATATTGATGGAATAGTTGAATTTGTTGTCATGTGAATAAAGGTTAAGATGGTAAGCATTTGCAGTTATTTTTGAGTTTCGCGATATTTTATTTGTCATAAAATCTTTGAAACAAGTAATAAAATGACAACTCGTTGTGCCAAGAATAAAGAATTTATTGCAAAGTTAGCGATCTCGATTAATGATAAAATCTTTTTAAGCCAGACATAAAAAAAATGTTTTTTGTAAAAAGTTTGTAAAGTAAAATGACAAATTTTTTTACTAGATAATAAAACATTTTATTTACACAAGAAACTTTAATAAATTATGCATATTATTTATAAATCCATTATAATGCACTTGATATCATACTAAATAAAATTTATTCCCCGACACTTTTGACCCATTGATAACGGCGCTTTAGAACGCCCTAAATAATAATTTTTAAAATTAGAAAATTTAAATACCATTTAAATATGGTTAATATAAATATTTGATCAGAATGTCCATGGGTATTGTATTTTTTTGTGTAAAATTAATCCTTTAATCTTTTTTTTTTTATTTGGATTTCTTATGAATTTGAAACACTTCATATTCATTTACAAAATAGTATTTCGGTTTATGATTAATTAAATTTTCATAACTTTTCTGATTCTTATTAATATAGAATCCATTATTTTGACTATTATAATTGTTACGAAACAAAGAAATATAACCACCAAAATTCATACCATAAATAGTATCCATATAAAGAGCACGGCTTGGGTCTTTAACACGACTTAAAATAGAATTTTGAACAGCAATATTTTTTAATGAAAAAATAAAGGCATTCTGACAACTAACAAATTTCTTTTTGCTTTTATCCCATGCAATCGGATTGTATCCACCAAAAATTCTTTCAGTATTATCACCGAAATTAAAATTTATAACCGTAACAGTATTTGCTTTCATATTGCATAAATTCCAAAAAATCTCACGAGTAAATCCATCTCTACTTCCACGAAGAAGTAATTTAAATTCGTATGGATTATTTTGTACATTATATGTAATATTTTCATCAATCCATGATGCAATTTCAGCTGCATGTTCTTCATTAATAACTGTTGCAAACGGTTCAGCTAATCTAATTGGTAATTCTGATTCTAAAATAATACGAGGTGGTAGAATTGTTGAGGTAACATTATAATCTTGTGATAAATGTCTTTTAATTAGATCATTCCAAATTTTTTGTTCAAGAATTCGAGAATATGGCATTAAATAATCAGAGACATCTTTGCTAGATATCTGAAAGTAACGAATATGTGATAAACTATTTTTCAGAATAGCCTTTAGGGCTGTAAAGTTTTCATCAGACCAGTCCTCAAGATTATAAGGAAAATCAGGATTTTGTGCAATTCCCCATTTTATAACATAATTCCAAATCTTTATCTCCTCAATTTGCAAATCATCACGTTTAATAAGTGAAACCAAAGCATTTTCATTAAGTGAATAAAAATCTTCAGAATCAAAAATAATGGTGGGGTATTTTGCTAAAATATTATTACACCAATTTTGTAAATTTTTTAATTTGTTATTTTGGAAACATGTTTTATGAACATGAGCGAAATGAGAACGTAACCAGGGGGCTTTAGACTCAATTAAAAAAATTTCAAGAGAATTAACTAATTCTTCAAGAAGGAACTCATCAGAGACTAAAATAAGATCAAAAATAAATTGGTTATCAAAATTTTCTAGAGAAACTAAACCTCCGTAGATATATCTTATAATTAAAATAAAAATTTTATAAAATTTCATAAAATAGTAAATATGAATTAAAAACATTTATTGGCACAACTTACTTAATAATTATTTCAAATTGTTGGATAGAAATATGTGAATTTAAATCAATTTTTATGATGTTATCGACATCTTTGCTGATATTTTCTAATCTGTTTTGAAAATATAAAGACCTACATTTTAAAATAACTGAATGTGCCTTAAATTCTCTTATGTCCGTAGATTTTCCCACTTTAATAATTACATTGAAGTCAATTCCTTTTTCAAGAAGTTCAATATAATTGTTTGAAAGTTTTTCAAAGTGTTTAATTGTCATTTTCTGTATAAATTTTAAATTTATAAATTCTTGAGTTACGATACATCTTCAATGTGTTGTAATATCGATTGGATATAAATAGTACGTGACACGGCATGAGAATATAAACTCGTATCCGAAATCACGGTTACACAAATTATTTATATGGGCAATCGAAAAATTGATATAAAAACTACGTAGAATTTTCACAATCTGTTTACCCATAACGATAATAAGTTAAACTAAAGGTACCCATGTTTATTAATAAAATTTCTTCGTTTAGAATGTTTTTAGTAGAAAATCTTTTCTAATCGTTTTTAATCGATTTCCCCATGGATCTTTCATAAGAATAAAGGTAAACGTTTGGTAATTCTGTAATTGGCAGAGTTTATTGAGTTTCTACTACGTTTAAATTATTAAACCATATTTATATCTTAGATTTATAATTGTTAAATAGTGAGTGTTATACTAATATAAGATTTTATGCATTTATTAAATAGGCCAAGCAATAAAAAGCTTTTAACAAGGTTTATTTACTTGAACCAAGAGCATATATATTTTATTATTTATCAAACAGATAAGAAAATTAAGATCTTTAATGTATAGTAAATATGGTGATGCGGTCTAATTGATAGTATAGTCAAGAGTAGTAACATATAACACGTGTTTTTAGTAAAGTATAATAGTTAAAAGATGGATTAGAATTTACTTTTTAGCGAACAACTTAATTAATCCACTATTATCACAAATCAACCCATTTATTAATACCTTCATTTCGCGTATCGAAATAATTTTAATTAATTTTATTGGTCAACAGTCACTTATGGATCTACATAATTAGCCAATTACATAAATGTTATAATCCGTAATTTCCGAGTTTTTTCTATGCTCACGGCATGTGTCCAAGGGAGTATACTATAGTTGTTATCTGAAACCCGAAACCAAAACCCTTTCCGAAACTCTAACACTATACTGAAAGTCTTAGAAATTTAATTTTAAACTTTAAGACTTAAAGTATAGA